TGGCGTGATGGCGTGAAATTTGTTGGTTAAAGATGAACAGTTCATCAGCCGGACTCAGCCGGAAATGACTGCTTCCTTTCTCGAACGATTGAGCGGCAACTGCAATTCCGCGATGCTCACTACACTGATGTATACTATAACACCACTCAGTATGAAAGCGGATTAAAAAAACCTCAATAAGGAAAAAAACTAGTACTGAAAACGGAATTCAAGCAACACTAGACCGAAGCAGTCGAACTTTCGATGCTGAATGATTATTACGAAATTAGTTCAAAATTATTTAACTGATAGAAATCTGCAGGTAAATTTTCAAATTTCCAAATCTGATCGATTACCTGTTAGAGCAGGAGTTCCTCAGGGTAGCATGTTTGGGCCTATATTGTATAACATTTTAACAATCTTTGTTCGCCGATGACACAAGCATTTCTGCAAAAGGAAGAAGTCGTAGTATTTGCAGCAGACTACAGAAAAGTTTAGATATTTTCTCTTCTTATTTACAAAAATGGGAGATTTCTCCTAACTCAATTTATAATATTTCCACATAAGCCTAGAGCTTCCTTTTAGAAACCTAGTAGTAGTCACTTGGTCACTATGAACGGAGCTCCAATTTCTTGGTTAAGTCAAGTGAAACATCTTGGAACTAGATGATGATGATGATGGTCCCACATCTTACCCCTACAAAGGTTTGAGCTGGACGATTTATCTTTAAGATAATTAAATATAACATTTAACCAGGTTAGCAAACAAAATCGAACTGGTTTAAGTTACAGTTATAAATTCCCTCTAGAGTTTACAGTTGCTTCACAGTGATAAAAATGTGGAAAAGCTCAGGCGTCCATCTCTTTTTGTCCACCTAAGTGTACATAAGTATTACAAGCAATCAAGAGTTAATGAGCAATCAACAAAGCATCCTATTACACTAGCAACCCCGCCATCTGATGCTATCATAATTTTCAGCAATGTCAGGAATGCTCACGAACCCCCAACATTTGGCAGAAAACTTACTACTAAATCAAGGTATCTTCCAAATAAGCTTCAAATTTGCATTTTTTTTATCAAATTTTAAATTCAGTCCTCTATATCCGTAATACGCGCGCGAGGCTCAAACCTTTGTAAACTTTTTTTTTAAATCTACTACTATTAAATCAAATACTAAAAATCCATCATCACCCTCGTGGCGAACAGAAATAGTTTTTGCAGCTCTACAATAACGATTAAAAAGTCGTTATGACAGCTATCCATACAAAATAATCCGTTAGAGATAACTTCGTCAAGATACATAATTTGTCAATTCATAAAAACAAATCACTGGATAACTGTTCAAAAAACAGTTTTAACGTGTGAAATGCAGTGTCTTTTAAATTCTGTAAGTGCTGCTAAACATTTGATATGTCTAGGCATCGAATTGAAAACATTTATTCGTTTATAAAATAATGAATTTTGTGAAGCACAAGTCAAGAAATGTGGTGTTCTTATTGCAACCGCGTTTCTATTATTATATCTATGAAAGCCACTTCCTTTTTCAATTCGATCACACAAATATCGAGGCAGCAAACCGTTAACTACTTTAAAAATGAACACCATAGTCAAATATACAATTCTTTGCTTCACCGACAGCCATTGTAAGGCGTCTAGCATCAAAGTTGAGGAAGTGAATCTAATGCATCTCAAAATCAAACGCATTATTTTATTCTGCAAGCGCTGTAATCTCGATATTTGTGTGCATTGGCCAGAAATAAAATGGAAGGGCAAAAGTCAAGATGAGGAAAGAGGATAGCTGTATTTTACTGGCAATAGCTAAATAATTTTTCAGTCGACATATAATTTCATACTTCTTGGCAATTTTCTTGATGACATTGTCAATGTGTGAGTTGCACTTAAGTGTGTCATCAATAATCACGCCAAGATATTTAATCTCCCGAACGCGATCAAAAGTCTCATCATCAATTTCAACAGAGACGTTCTCATTTACTTGATTCTGCGAAATTACCATAAATTTAGTTTTACTTGTAGGGTAGAGAACTACTTCGGCCTAATCGCCCATTTTGGGCCTATCGAGCAGAAAACTTCAAATAAATCCATGATTTCAGAGTTAACAAGTCAATTATGCGGTTGGTACGAAACTTTAGTTAATAAGCTACCGAACGAAGTCAATGAGAACGCGTGATATGAAGGTTTGCACCCATTATTCCAAAAAACAAAAGAAGCGCTCCGACCGAATCATGTTTTATCTTCATCCGATAGGCCGAAGTGAATTCATAGGCGTTTCAATTGCGTTTCAATGCGTTAGGCCAAGTTTAGAATCCGTAGGCCGAGTTTGGCGTCAAGAAGCAGTGTTAGACTTTTGACAATATCTCATCAATTGGTTTCTCTTTATCAAATCTTACGGTACGTACGGAAAGGTAAATAAATTTGGAAGCCATCAGTTATAATAACATTCCGTTTGGTGCTAAACTGCGCTAGATTAAGAAAGACTAAGTGCGGGTTGTGCTTAATAGGCCGGAAATGGGGTAGTTAACCCTATTCAATTCTACTTAGCGAACGCAAATCTTCATTCAAGTGCAAAACGGCATCATCTAAATCCTTAGCTGCAATGAATAACACAGTATCATCTGCAAAAAGATTAATGTCGCAAAATCATAAAACACGTCGCAAGTCATTAATGTACATAATAAATAACAGGGGCCCTAATACACTTCCCTGGGGCACTCCAAGGTTTTTCCCCACGGGACTGGAAACAGAATCATTAAAAACAGTCCGTTTAGTTCTGTCAGACAAATAGCTTTCAAACCATTTATATGCAGCACTCGTAATTCCAAAGCGCTTGATTGATCTTAACAATAAGGGCCTAGAAATTGTTTCAAAAGCGTGTTTAAAATCCAAAAAACAGCAACAATCGTATCTTTACACTCCAAGTTATTTTTTCACTTCGCCACCAAATTCAACGCGGTTTCACAAGAATGACCTTCCCGATATCCCAATTGTTCCAGACCAAAAATTAACTTTGAAAGATCACATTAAGGGCATTCAAGCCAAATGTAGCCAAATTGTAAAACGTTTGTATCGACTCATAAACAGGAGATCCAAACTTTGCCTCAAGAATAAACTTCTAATATTTAAACAAGTTTTTAGACCGACCATGCTTTGCGCTGTGCCAATATGGTCTAGTTGTTGCACTACCAGGAAAAAAAAACCACTTCAAAGGATTCAGAACAAAGTTCTGAAGATGGTTTTGAAGTTGCCCCTAGTACAGTACTACCGAGATACTTATAATTTGCGAATGTTGAGACTGTAGAGCAAATGTCCAACAAAATAATTAATAATTTCAGACATACTTAGATAAGATGCAGTTTAAGTTTTAAGTTTTAAGATATCAATTGTTATACTGACATGCATATTTAGAACCTCCATTGCGTACGATCCTTAATAAATCTCAAAACTGACACAACTCACAATTGACAAGCTCACGAGAATTAAATAATGCCAAAACAAATAACTCTTCAACATGGTAACGTTTCTTGCGAAAAGTGAAGCGAAAAATCTTTTGAATTGCTTCGAAAAATTGCAAGGACCATCATGGAACCAACAGCTGGACCTTCGACAAAATCAGTGCGAAACCGAAATTTTTTGTCAGTGCGAACCTCAACCTGAGCTGGGTTTTAAAAGCAAGCGAACAAACTGACGTTTGTCAGAAAATAAGCAGATCTAATAATAAACGAATTCGCTTTTAATTTTAGCGATGATTTATTGAAATACACTGTGTTTCCTTACGGAATTCAAAGTAAAGATTTGCAGATTTCTTTGTTGATGGATACCAATGGTTGCTTTGATTGTTGAAAGCTCAAGTGAAGAAAATGTGTATTTATAATGCACCGTGCAATAATTTAAGACCAACAATTGCAAAGGCCTCAACTAAATTTTGTAAACAAACCTTGCAAAGCCATTCTGTCTCGAACCGAAGTCCGTCAACGCAAACGAACAAGGTAGGGAACAGGTACACTGAACCAAAACATCCGCAATACTTCGAATGATTATTGCATTGCTCGAGCCCTTTAACAATATGCATTCGAATTTCGGATGATTTTCTTATGGTTGAATTCGTCGTCAGATGATGAACATCCATATGACTGTCATCCAAATACAGGATGATTTTCGTTTGAAAATTAGCTATAAAACATATGGCACTTAGAGTACAAACATTTAAGAATAGTGTGACATGCAAATGCTTTTAATTAGATTTATAATTTGATTATCTACAATTCCATACTGAATAGCCATCATAAGCCATTCCATTATGGATACAAAAAATTTTCGTGGTAGAGAAAACCTCCTCCACCACGAATTAGCCAAACATTGGTTTTAAATCCTTTACCTTTGTTCGTAAAAGCTCTGATAGCGATGCATATGCTTCCACCTCGTTTGTCAGCTCAGATCAGCAAATGACGTTCGATAGAATTATTTACATCATCGTTTTGAATGATTTGCGTTATGGGGCTGAACCAAAACCATATTTATTTCCATTTACCTAGTATGACAGTCATTCTTCAGAGAGCATTACGCATTTCAACTGAAGGCCCTATCCCTTCTCATAACAAGTTTCATCCTGTATTCGAGAGGAAAATCATCTGATTTCAAAACAACCGTCATCCGATTGCAGCTATCATTCGAAAAAGCGATTTCGGTGTTTTGTTTTGAATGGTCTGAGGTTTCATTCGATCAGAGGATGATGTTTGTGTACAGTGTAGGGAAAATTCTCCTCTTCCCGATTTTGATTTAGGTTTGTGAATAGAGTTCTCCAGATGCACAAAAGTGTGCGTGAGACCGCGCGCTACATTTTTAAGTAGTTGTGATATCGCTGAATGCTGGAGTTAGTGTTAGTGAGGAAACAAATCAAAACAAACTCCTGTCAACAGTTATGAAAAATGGTAAGAAATGCAGCCAAATTTATTTATAATTATGGATATTGAAACATTATGCTGATTATTTCTAATTATTTATAGGATTCAACTGAAGCCACGGATCGATATCAACAAAAGAAAGGGTTTTGCCATGGACTTGATCCCTACAGTATAAAGGTTACACAAAAAAACATTCCGTTGAATGTGACATTCGCGAAAATCTACCAGTTTTTGGTGCTGGATCCATGTCCTTTTTCCGGTAACCCGAAGGATTGTTCGAAGGCCATGGACACAATCCTTTACTTTAAGAATGGCTGGGTAAAAAATGTAGCAGGAGCAAAAGTTCAAAATGTTCAGGTTGTTCACGGATTTGTGCACCACTCGTTTGCGCTGGAGGAGAAACCGTTGCAGCCGTGGATTATAATTAACGAGGAAGGCACCATACTAGCGGCCCACTGTACGTGTGCCATCGGAATCATGGAAGCTTGTAGCCACATAGGTGCAACGCTAGTTGCCCTCGATGGAATCCGTGTAGCCGTTTTTGAGAAGAAGGTGATTCCCATTGTGTTTACATAAAATTAAATTCATTATTATTATTATACTGTTATTTTTCCAGCTATCCGTCACGGATCTTCCGGCTTATTGGAAGAAGCCACCGAGTGCCATCACCGAGGACCTTCATAAAAAGTTGTCTGAAATCAACTTCGGGCGGAAAATAGCTCGAGATAATTCCGTTCAGCAATCCGAAGTTTCATTCGATTCGCGGTGCCGAGACTTGTTGCTTCTGATTCAGGAAGATGGCTGTGAAGTAGCTGCCATGTCGCAGTTCTGTGGCGATGCGTCTATCGATTTCAAATGTTTGCCATGCAAGGAGGATGATTGTGTGCAACAAACTATACAAGACTTCTTTTTGCAACAACTATTCAACAGTGCCAACCAAACCAAAAGTCTCGATGAGCTGCGGAAAATGGCTGTAAGAATTTTTAAGCGATTGCCCCGGGATCCAGAAGTGATTGCCGATATTGAAAAGCTCACCGTTGAGCAAAGCAAGTGCAAGTGGTGGAATTCGGTTCGAAGCGGTCGTATCACCGCGTCCGTTTTGAAGGATGTTTGTAATACTTCTCTAGTTAAACCATCTTTATCGCTTGTTAAAAGAGTGTGCTATCCGGAGCAGATGAGTTTTTCTTCACCATCTGTGAAATATGGTCTTAGGCATGAAGGAAGTGCAGTTGATAAGCTTTTTTTATCAGTTTCAGAAGTGCACCAAAACTTAACAAAGCATAAGACGGGATTGATAATATCACCAGATAATCCACACTTGGGAGCATCTCCAGATGCTGTTTTTCGTTGCTCTTGCCATGGGTCAATAACAGTGGAGGTCAAATGTCCTTACTCTGCTAGAAGCAACACAGATACGTTAGATGTGTTGCTTAATCTAAACGATCCATATATATTGAAGGATGAAAATCAAAATATCTGCCTAAACACTAGGTATAAATATTATTACCAGGCTCTGATGCAAGTCCATGTGGCCCAAGCATCTTTCGGGTATTTTTACATCTGGACTCCAAATCAGACACTCATATTTGAGGTTAAGAGAAACAATGTTTTTTGGAATTACTGTAAAGACAAGGCGACAATTTTTTTCAAACATGTTATCATTCCGGAACTTCTGGGTAAGAAGATAACAGTGTAAGAGGATGAAGGAAAAAATTGATTATTCCACATTGCAACAATTGATTATTAAACTTTTTTTTGTTGTTGTTCGTTTTTATTCAATAAAACTTGTTCCAAAAAAATTCCGAAAAATACTTCCGAATAGTCATAATATAAGACAAACTGGTGCCCACTGGAAACTAAATTTTGCTGAAGGGTGGTCAACTATCTGCTCAACAACTTTCCCAAAGACACCAAGAAGTTTTTTCTTCCAAGTTCTCCAAAATCTGAGTTTTCAAAATTTTATTACTTAAATGGATCGTGAACACTCACCCACTCTCTTTACCCTTCCCCCCTCCTCAAATTCTGTCATCGTAGTATGTGAATACCCACCTGCAACTAAACGTATTTTGACTTTCTCGAAAAAAAAAATGAAAAACATTCTTTTATTATTTTTGAAGTTTAATCATCATGTAACTACACTAGGACACAGATTTACTAATGCCGCTGCAATGACCCAAATTTGATCAACAGCGAGCATTCCGTTATTCCATCGTTCCAGCATGGATATTGGAAGCGTATCCGAAAGAATCAAAAAAATTTGTCGAAGAACGCCAAGAGACGCTCAACGTGGATTCGAAGTGATGACAGCTCCTTAGAATGAATGGCATCCATTGGCTCCAGTTGACGGGTTTTCTTCTTGAATGCAGGATATGCAACGCTGGCATTCACCGTTAGTAGAAGATTTGCTATCAAAAAACCTCGATCGGCTAAAATGAAGTCTCCTTCTTGCAAATTATCTAAAATGCCCGACAATCGCACAATCTGTTTGTCAGATATTCTACCTCCGAAAGTGGGGGATACGAATATTATACCTCCGGAAGGACTAATCCCTATGAGTACTTTGACTGTTTTATGACGTTTATAAAAGTAATAAACGTTCGCGTTTGCTGCCATGGCTTTTGGATCAGGTGAGGATCATATCCACTTCAAAGAAGTCGATGATCACTGTTACATTGTCTTCGTACCTTTTTTTAAATGTAAGTGGCGTATGCTTCTTCAAAACATTCGGTGGAGGGAAACGCACCAACTGCTTCATAAAAGGATACTTAGCATTTATAGTTGCATAGAATCGCTCAGAAATCGTGGTCTGAGAATATTGATAAATGTAGCCCAGACTACAGAATGCCTCGTTTAGCCTCAATTTCCGCAATACCATAATAAGTAACTGATCCTTCGGAAATTCGTGAAACTCTGGTAGATCTTGTTGCAGCGCATCAAATAAACGTTTGAATACTCGTCAACAGCTTAGACTGGTATAGTAGCGACATTTCTTATCATCAATGATCAACAAAGCCGCGGAGAAACGAGTGCCCTCTTTAGCGATGTCTGCATCATTCTGTAACCGTGTCATTTTTTTCAATGAAACTTCGTACTTTTTCTCCACACGGCATAGATTGTGTTTCAAGTCCCGTATTTCTTTTTCACCGTTGCCATTGGTTTGCGTGCACACATCAGAGTTAAATGTCTGTTCCTTCATCTCAGCACCGGAATTAAATGACTGCTCCTTCATCTCAACATCGACTGCATCACTCGAAATCAAGTTCACGATCATGTTTTCGGCGTTGCCGTTGGTTTACGTGCGCACATCAGAATAAAATGAGTTCTTCTTCGTTTCAGCATCGCCTGGCTCACTCGAAACACACCCTACGTAGGAATTGGTATGCTTAGTAATATTATCACCACGGCAGTGGCCTTCAGTAGATCTAGAATAGAATATTGATATTTCAGTTCAATAAATTGAATCAAGTATTTTCTTTTATTTTTCATCATCACTGAAAAACATGCAACACTATATTTTCTATTCAATGACACTAGAAATATCCACTTTACCTTTTGGCAATAGTTCCGATCGTCAAGGTAGGATTATCGTTAAGTTTCAGCGGGAGATTTTTCGTTGGTATCCAATCGATGTTGTTGATGTCATCTGGATTGGCTGGCTTTCCGGACACAAAGTGGCGGCTGCACACTCGATGATGCTGTCTTGGAACTGCCGGAAGCTGGCAATTTCGTACCCACTGTGAGTGGCGAATTTCCAAAAAGTTTCGGTGTGCCCCGGTGGCACGGATATCAATTTTTGGGATCCTGAAAAGTTGGTGGTTCTTGTTGTTTGCGTAAACAAGACAATCCGGCACATTACACTTTAGAGTCATATCGCACCGATCACCAATTCTTGCAAGAAATTATAACAATAATCACTAGCGTGCACAGGAATCTTCTTAAGGAGGGGCATTTTTTTCTATGGTGCATTTAATTCTGGGGATGGGGAGTACTCCAAAGTGCGTGGTGAATGATGCTGTCCACCCACCACTGTTCCCTACTGTTCAATTTAGCTAATTTTATTTATTTTTTACTGCGGTGGTGGTTCATCTTCTTCAATGGAAACTGCTTTCAGACAGCCAATGGAATTGGCAATTTAATCCCATCGACAATGTCGATGATGATCAGTTCGTCAAATGGTTGTAATAGTAGGGCTTTAACCGAAATGATACATTTGCTGCAATGTTGCTGCCTTGGTGGTTGGATTCAGCTGAAGTCACTTCAGATAAGGATGATAGCTACTACAAACCGACATGAATTACCAATAAGAATCGCATTCTCCTTTCGCATGCACACTGTGTCGACAAGTACAAGGTTCAAACAGTTCGCATAGCAGTGAATATACAGTATATTGCTCTTGATCAATCCAATCTTGATCAGTGGTGTTGAGTACTTGGCACTGATGATGTCTGCAAGTAGTAGACGAAATTCGCGTTTCTGTCAAAAGATAAGCAATTATAACGGAATTAAAAGGAAATAAACCAACACACTCGAAGCTCTTCATAAAGCGATTCCGTTAAGAGGTTCGACAAATTTAAGGGCTTGAGAAAATCAAATTTTTAGTGAAATTCCAAAGGGATTTTATGCAAAATTCCGAGGATAATTTCTAGTTTATTACAGGAAAAATTTCTGAAACTCTAAAGAAATTTCAGTTCCTAGGTGTTCTGAGAAAAAATCATGAAGAGTTCTAAATATAATTCCAGTGGACTTCTGAGAAGAATTTCAAAAGAGCTCTTAGGAGAGTTCTAAAAAATCCGAGAAGAACCTCAAGGATATTGAATTCTGAGGACAGTTCCAAAGGATTTCTGGGGAGTATTCCAAGAAAATTCTGCGAATAATTTCTAGTAAATCCTGCAGATAGTTCCAAGATAATTCCGAAAAGAATACCAAGGAAATTAAATTTTAAGTTAAATTCCAAAGGGATGTTGAGGAAAATTTCAAGGGAATACCGATAATTTATAGTTCATTCCGGGAATAATTTCTGGATAATACTGAGAAGATTCATCTGAAACTCTAAGGGAATTTCAGTTCCAAGGTGTTCTAAGTAAAAGTCAAGAAGAGTTCTAAAAATAATTTCAGAGGACTTATGAGAAGAATTTCAAAAGAGCTCATAGAGTTCAAAAATTTTTGAAATGAACCTCAAGGAATTGAGTACTTGGCACTGATGAAGTCTGCAAGTAGTAGACGAAATACGCGTATCTGTCAAAAGGTTAGCAATTATAACGGAATTTAAAGGAAATAAACCTACACACTCAAAGCTTTTGATTTTCTCGGTATTCCTTTCGAAATTATCTTGGAACTATCTGCAGGATGCACTAGAAATTATCCGCAGAATTTTCTTTGAATTCTCTCCAGAAATATTTTAGAACGATCCTAAGAATTCAATATCCTTGAGGTTCTTCTTAGAATATTTTAGAACTTTTTTTTTCTCAGAACACCTTGGAACTGAAATTCCTCTAAAGTTTCAGAAGAATTTCTTCAGTATTCTTCAGAAATTCAGAAATATCCTAGGAATTTCTTTGAAATTTTCCTCAACATCCCTTTGGAATTTTATTCAAAATTTGATTTTCTCGGTATTCTTTTCGAAACTATCTTGGAACCAGTGTTCGGAAAATCATTCTCAAATCTCATTCATTGAGCCTCTCTGCGAGAATAAACTCACGTGTGAATGCGGCAAACAAAATTCACGCTTGAGATTCTCATGCATATTCACGCACTCACACTCACAACGCCGAAAAATCATTCCAGCTTTAAACTCATAAAAACCACTCAAACGTCAATTGATATCATGCCTATGCATGTTGTGTAAGTTTTCCAACTGCTGATGCACAAACAAAAGTAATAGCAATGAATAACGCCAAAATATAAAGCAATGAATTTTTGAACCTGAAAACTCATCGGTGATTTTTGCGACGTTGAATTTTGCAAGGCAAAACTCATAGGCGCATAAACTCATGCATGAGATTTGAATTTTTTGATTTTTCCGAACACTGCTTAGAACTATCTGCAGGATTCACTAGAAATTATTCGCAGAATTTTCATGGAATCATCCCCAGAAACCTTTTCTTTTGGAACTGCCTTCAGAATTCAATACCCTTGAGGTTCTTCTCGGAAGTCAATTTTAAGTTGTCCGTCCATTCACCAAAACGTTGTAGTTTTTCTACCAAAAATGTTCAATGAAGCTTGCCCCTCCATTCGCCAGAACTGTGAAATTTTTACATCCGGAATTTTAAAATCAGCTTGCCCCTCTGTGCAGCAGATTCTTGCAAATCTTACACCAGAAATTTTTAATACAAACTTGCCCCCAGAAAATTTTATGCCAGAAAATTTTAATTGACTAGAACGATGCAAATGTTCCATCGTTAATGTTCAATAAAATTTGCTTCTCCAATCTACTGATTGGTACAGATTTCCTTTTTCCATTTTCCACCAGACATTTTCAATATAGCTTGCTTCTCCTATCATCAAATGTTGCAGGTTTTCCATCAAATAAAGCTTGCCCCTATTTCCAGATTTTTCATCATAAATTTTCAGTAAAGCAGCTTCCCTCCAATCATCAGAATGGTGCAAATTTTACACCAGAAATTATGATCAAAGTTTGTTTCTCTATTCAGCAGAAGAATGCAAATTTAAGACCAAA